ACCCCAAAATCCATCCTGGGAACCCCAAAATCCATCATGGGAACCCCAAAATTCATCCTGGGAACCCCAAAATCCATCCTGGAACCCCAAAATCCATCATGGGAACCCCAAAATCCATCCTGGGAACCCCAAAATCCATCCCAGAATTCCCAAATCCGCCCCAAATCCATCCCAGAATTCCGGGGATCCCCCGGGTCCCTCCAGCAGCGCCATCCCAACGTTCCCCAGCTTCCCTGTGCTCCTCCCGCTGTTCCCAACACCGTTCCCACGGAACCCCCGGCATTCCCAACACCGTTCCCGTGGAACCCCCGGAATTCCCAACACCGTTCCCGTGGAACCCCCAACACCATTCCCATGGAACCCCCGGCACTCCCAACACCGTTCCCATGGAATTCCCAACACCGTTCCCACGGAATTCCCAACACCGTTCCCAGGACATTCCCATGGATTCCCGCTGTTCCCAACACCGTTCCCAGGACGTTCCCATGGATTCCCGCTGTTCCCAACACCGTTCCCAGGACGTTCCCATGGATTCCCGCTGTTCCCAACACCGTTCCCAGGACGTTCCCATGGATTCCCGGCATTCCCAACACCGTTCCCAGGACGTTCCGGGTGTCTCACCAACAGGAAGGGGCGGCTGTTGGCGCGGCCCAGCCCCACCAGCAGCAGTTCCCGCACAGGCGGCAGCTCCCGCTCCCCGCGCTCCTCCTTGCGCGGCTCGGCCGGGGGTTGTCCGAAGGAGGAATCCACCAGCACGCGCTGTCCCACCGGAAAACTCTTCACCAGGAACACCAGGCGCCACTCCGGCAGCTGGTAGATCTGACAACAGCCGGAACGGGACAGCCGGAGTGAAACGAACGGAGTGAAAACAACAACAGCCGGAGTGAAACGAACGGAGTGAAAACAACAACAGCCGGAGTGAAACGAACGGAGTGAAAACAACAGCCGGAGTGAAATGAACGGAGTGAAAACAACAACAGCCGGAGTGAAACGAACGGAGTGAAAACAACAGCCGGAGTGAAATGAACGGAGTGAAAACAACAACAGCCGGAGTGAAACAAATGGAGTGACACAGCCGGGGAAACAACAGCCAGAGTGAAACAAACAGAGTGGAACAGTCACAATGAAACAACAGCCGGAGTGAAACAAACGGAGTGGAATAGTCACAATGAAACAACAGCCGGAGTGAAACAGGTGGAGTGAAAACAACAGCTGGAGTGAAACAAACGAAGTGGAACAGCCAGGAAAACAACAGCCGGAGTGAAACAGCCGGAATGACAGCAGGATCCCGGCTGGAGAGCAGTGGGAACACCGGGGGAAACAGCAGGAATGAGGCAGGAATCCATCCCAGTCCATCCCAGTCCCTCCCAGTCCATCCCAGTCCATCCCAGTCCCTCCCAGTACCCCCAGTACCTCCATGTTGCCGTTCTCCCTGGCCAGCACACACCAGTGCGATGGTTCCGGGCTCAGTGCGGTTGTTTCCCGCTCGGGGGGTCCCGGGCGCCGCGGCTCCTCCCGGGGGGGGGAACGGCCGGAGCCCCCCGAGTCCCCGTAGAGCATCTCCTCCTCATCGTCAACCGAGTCACTGCGGGGACAGACACACCTGGGCACACCTGGGCACACCTGGGGACACCTGTGATACACCTGGGGACACCTGGGGACACCTGTGATACACCTGGGAACCCCCCCGAGTCCCCGTAGAGCATCTCCTCCTCATCGTCAACCGAGTCGCTGCGGGGACAGACACACCTGGGCACACCTGGGGACGCCTGTGATACACCTGGGGACACCTGGGGACACCTGGGGACACCTGGGGACACCTGGGGACACCTGGGGACACCTGGGGACACCTGGGGACACCTGGGGACACCTGGGGACACCTGGGGACACCTGGGGACACCTGGGGACACCTGGGGACACCTGGGGACACCTGGGGACACCTGGGGACACCTGGGGACACCTGGGGACACCTGGGGACACCTGGGGACACCTGGGGACACCTGGGGACACCTGGGGACACCTGGGGACACCTGGGGACACCTGGGGACACCTGGGGACACCTGGGGACACCTGGGCACCACTGCACACTCCTGCACACACCTGGGGTCACACCTGGTCACACCTGGACACACCTGAACACACCTGCACACACCTGGGGACACACCTGGTCACACCTGGACACACCTGGGGTCACACCCGCACCCACCTGAGGTCCTGGATGAGGGTCTCGGCCTCGGCGTGGGGGCGGGGCGGGGGCTCCTCGCGGGGGGCGCGGCTCTCGGTGGTGAACATTCCGGAAAGGTCCCGGTACAGGCACAGCGCCGTCACCCGCGATTGCTGCCAGGGGACAGCGGGGGGACGGTGGGGACACCACCGGGGACACTGGGGACATCACCGGGGACACTGGGGACATCACCGGGGACACCACCGGGGACACTGGGGACAGCACTGGGGACACTGGGGACATTGGGGACATCAC